AAATCACAGTTAATTATATTTCTTTTGAAGATTTCTTGTTTTCGTCTAAAATTCTTTTTACTTCAAAAGCATTATCTGAATTATCAAAAAAAAGAATTAAATTATCAAAAATTTCCTATTTTTTTATATTTTTTATTTTTAATAAAAAATAAACTCATTAATTAAAAATACTTTTCCATTTTTAGATAACTTTTTTATCATTACTTACAAATTTTTTGATTCAGCAGATTCGATAGAAACTTCTATTTATTTTAATTATATATTATGAATAACCTTAATAGTTCCAGGCTTATCATTAACATATTATACAATTAATAAATTTTAAGAATCCTTTACGAAAAAGCAACATAATTTTTAGTTTTTATTTTCATTTAAATTAACATAACATTATACAGATTTTCTAGAATCTTTTAATTTATTTATTAATTATAAAATATATATTATGTAATTTATACTCATTTCATATTATTATCCAACCTACCAAAGTGAACTTGGATTATTTAAAAAAGTATTATATGCAATATCTAAATCATATTCATTTTCAGATAAATTTGTTTAGCAAATGAATGTATATCTTATTTTTCTTAAAATAAAGTATAAAATTAAATCTCTTCTTGTAATATCTTTATTACTACTCGCTTATCTAAAATATAAATCAACTGCTGTTTTTATATTTTTAATATTAAAAAAACTTATTTATTAAATTTTATTTACTGTTTGGACAATCTTCTAAAGGTAAAAAACAATAATAATCAATTTATTTATCTAATTTAAAAATATTTAAACTTATTTTTTAAAAAACTAAATATAAATTATTAAATAATTTAATATTTAATTAACTTAATAAATGCATATTCAATATCATATAAATCCAAAATAAAATCCCAAACAATTTAAGTTTTGACAAGTGTATTAGCTTTTTATAATTACAATTAATATGCTTAATAAAAGATTTGCATTTATTCATAATTAAATAAAACTAAGTTAATGTAATTTTCACAACAAAAACAATACATTAATTTCGATAAAATCAAATAATTATTTAATCTGAAAGGAGGATCAGTTTTTAATATCTTTAATTAAAAAAATATTTACAAAAAAAAAATTCTAAAAGTAAAAGTTACTTTTAAAAAATTTGTTTAATATTTTTTTAAACTTTCAAGGTTTTCTTAATTTTTATAATTTTATTTACTTACTCTTTAAGTTAATAATCCACAATATTCAAATACTTAAACAGAAACGAACTTATTTTAAACTACAGTTAATAAAAATTTTAATGTTAACATAATAAGGTTATCATCTTTACTCTATATATTATAAATTTAAAAAAAAATAAAAAAATACTCTTAAAAAAGAAATAATATTATCTTTAAGAGAATTATCTTAATATTTTTCATTAAAATTATTTTCTTATTTATTCTTATTTTAAATTAAATCATTAATAGATTCTTCATATAAATCATATAGCGAATTTCCTAAATACTAATTATATTAATTAATTGTATCTTCATTATCTTTATTTTTAGGTTAATTGCATATTTTCACCCCTAAAGCTTATGTCAACTTAATTATTTCTTCTTCATAAGCTATATGATTTGAATATCCTTATTCAGATTTATTTTAATTATTTTTTCCATCCTAAAAAAGGATTACAGATTATTAATTTGTAAAAGAATCATACTAATCCCAAAAATTCTCATAATTCCATTTTTTGTTAAATGATGCAGGTTCTGAAAAAGGCTTTTCTAATTAATTGTTTATTTATTTGTTTAGTTTAGGCCCAAATAAAATTAATAATATAGTCTCGAGTATTATTTAATTTGATAAATTTTGAAAAATCAAAATAAGCATATGAAGGGATAAATAAATACTTAATTTACCCTTTTTAATAAATAATAGTTTTTATTAATAATAAGAAAAAAATTAACTTTTTTAAAAGATAAAAAACTGCTGAAAATATATGGAAGTACAGAAAAACTTAAAAAAGAATTAATAATTATCTTATTTATAAAAAATGAATTAATAAAATATCTGATTTTTTTACTTTTTTAGCTTAATAAGGAGAAGAACAAATTAAATCTTCCAAAAACAAAATAGAATCAATTTAATCATTTAGTAGATCACTTATTTTTTAACAACTTTAAAAATTAGAAGTCGATATTATATTATCTATTTCAACCCAACAATTTGAGATAAATGAGCAATAGTTTACATAAAATATTAAAAAAGGAAATCTTTATAAATAAAGCTATAAGTTTTCAATTTTAACTTTTAATTTTTTTAAAAAAAATTAAATAAATTATTATAATATAGTTACTTTTCATTACACTTAATATTATATTTTATACTGATGTCCTTATCATTGTTTCTCAATGATTATAAAATTTTATTGCTCTCCAAATAAGAGGAAAATTACTATATTTCTTTTTTTTAAATAAAATATAATAAAATAAGATATTTTATTAAAAATACGCTATTAAATAAAAGTTAAAGAGGTATTTAATCTAATTTTAAACTTAAACTTTTTAAGAAGTTAATATAATAATCTACAAACTCATCATCATTAAAATCAAATTAAAAGGATATTAAATCATTAATAACAGAATGTGATAAAATATAATTTTATTATTATAGTGATTTTATGTTAAGTATTAAAATACAAAAACATTAAATAATTTAGATTGTTATTTCTCTTACATTTTTATATTCTTGAATTATTTTAGAAATTTAATCAAGAAAATTCTATTCACAAAAAAAACTTTATTATATAAAATTATAAATTGAATTTTAAATATAAAATTAATTTATATATTAAATTATACTCAAAAAAATTATCATCATTTTTATCACCCCATAAAAACATATTAAATATGATCTTTATATCATCTAATAAATATTAATTAAACTACTCTTCTTTTTTGCTAACTATTTCTAATATTTCATTATATATTTCTCTATTTAAAATTTATTTAAATACAATATTATAAAATATTTATACTCTAAACTATTAATATTATATGTAAGCTCATATACATTTCTTATTTTATACTTTTAAGATTGTTATTATTTTTCTTTGTTTGATTTTAAATGAATATTTTTTTCTTTATTCATTTTAGTCAATAAAAATAAATAAATTTTAATTAATATTTTTAATAATTTAATTATATATTAAATATAAATTAAAAATAATTTAAAAATTCTTATTATATAAAAAAAATATGCTTTTCGATAAATAACAAAATTCCATTTTTGTTTATTAAATTTCATTTTTATAATTTATAATTTAATAAATCATAAAATAAAAAGTAAAAATAAATATAAATATAAGTGTTAAATTAAAAGAATATAATAAAATTATTTTATATAAATTTATATTAAAATAAATATAATTGATATAAAAAATATATATAAAATTATATATTGATTTAAAAACATATATATAAAAAAATATCAAAATATTATTAAATAATTATAAAATATATATTTTTCGGAATATTAAAAATAAATATAAAATGCATATTAATATTAACACGAAATAATAAATACTTTTTATTTATACTTTGTATTTTATTTTTTAAATTTATTATTTATATTATATCTTATATATTTTTTTTTTTTTTTTTTTTTAATAATTATTTTTATATTTATATTAATTATTTAATAAATCATTTTTAGAATTAAAATTTTTATTTATTTTTTAATAATATTTATTTAGATATTTTTATTATCTCATTTTATTTTTTTATAATTTTATTATTTTTATTTAATTGTTTCTGATAATTAGACTTAAATAAAAATATTTTTTATTTTTTTAATTATATATTCTAAATAAAAAATATATAAAGTTTATTAATTAAATCTAATTATATAATTATTTATATAAATATAAAATTTATAATTTATTAATTTTTTTATATAAAAATATATAAAAAAAAATAATATAAAATATAAATTATAATATATAATATATAAATATTTTTAATATAAAATCATTCATTATAATTATTTTTAATAAATAATAAAAATAAATTAATTTTATATTTATTAAATAAATATATTTATCTATTTAATTATTTTAATAATATTTTCTTTATATGTTAGTTATTGTTTATTCTTTATATTATCAACATAAAAATTATTTACTAATTAAAACAATATAAATATAAAAAAATATTTTTAAATTTAATATAAGACTTATTATGTATTATGCATCAAAGTTATTTTATAAAATATTTTTAGATAATATTTCATAAGTAATTATAAATTTTTCTTAATTTATTAATAATATTTTTTCTCTATATTTTATAGAAACTATTAAACAAAATATAAATAAATAATTATTACTTTTTTTTTTATTTAATATGATTTAATTATAAAATTTTTGAAATATTTATAATAATATTTTCTTATAAATTGATTAAATTGTAATTTGATGGCTATTTAATAATAAAAAAAATAAATTATATATTGAATACATTTTAAATAATATATAAAATAAATTTAAAATTTAAATAGAAAAAACTTATAAAATTTTTATAATTAAGAACAATATTTATTTTAAAAATTATCTAAACAAAAAAATTATTTCTTTATATTTAGTATTTATATTATTTGAAGATAAATATATTCTATAATTTATAATAAAATAATTATGCTTTTTTTGTTTTTTGAAACCAAGAAAAACTTAAATCATGCAAATTATAAAAAAAATCATTTTGAATTAAAAATAAATATAATTTTTTAATAAAAATAAATATCTTATTTAAACTTTAATAAAAATAATTATAAAATTTTAATTTTTTAAAAAGTTGTAATTATATATTATTTTTTTTTAAATAAAAAATATATGAAAGATATATTTAATATTTAATAATAATATTATTTATTTTAATTATTATATTATCAAATTTTATTTAAATTATTTAATTTTAATTTATTATTAAAGATAATATTATAATAATTAATTATTATATGCTTTATATATTTTTTTTCAAGAAATTTCATATTTCTTTAATTTTTCTTTCCTATTCATAATATAAATCTTATTTTTTATTTTTTACATTATATATTTCTAAATATTTTAATCGTTAATCAATAATTCTTTCTACTATTTTTTCAGTTGTCAAATTACAAGCAGATACAACAATTCTGTAAATTCCCATTTATTTTGGAATTTTATAAGGATCATCTTCCCTAGTTACTTGTGTTTAATCATTTACTTTTTACTTTGTCATACTTCCTTCCACAACAATACTTATATTAAACTCTTTTATCATGTTTTAATTAATATTCCATGGAGCCCCAATAATAACTTCATCTACATACTAATTAAAATAATAAATAAAAAAAACAATAGAAAATTATACTTTCATAGCCAAAACATTTAAAACTCTTTCTTATAAAGAATATATAGGATAATTATTTCCTTTCTTTTCGTTTATAATCTTTTTTTTTGTTTAATAAAAAGCAATGTAATAATATTAATATACTTCATCATCATGCAAACCAACAATTAAATAATCTCCTAATTCTTTAGCTTTTTATAAGGTTTAAATATGTCCGACATGTAACATATCAAAAGACCCATCAATATACACAATTTTATCTCCTTCTTTAGGTTCTCTATTTCCAGCTGAAAACTATCTAATTCTTTTTGTAGTATTTAAAAGTTTTAACTTTTTTTAAACTTTTTATTCTGCTTATTCAACTTATTATTAATATTTTTAGTTATTAATTTATTATTCTTTTTGTACTTCATGTACTTCTTCATTCTTTTCTTCTTCAGCCGTTAAATTATCTAATTTACTAACTGCAACACCACTATCTTAACTGTATTTTCTTATTTTTTTCTAATAAAATAAATAAATGAAAAAAGTAAAAAAAAGTACCATATCTTAATTTGGTTAATTTTTTGTCATTAATAAAAGTCTTCCTACAATATCAGTTGTAGAGATACCTTCAGTTCTTTTAAAAGTACTTTTATAAAAAAAGGCTTATGAAAAATATTTATTTGTTTAAAAAACATCATTCTATTTGATTCTTTAAACATTGAATAGGCATCTGATCCATCAGGGCCTATAATCATATCATCACCATGTGCAACATGACTACAATTTAATCTATCTAATAATTCTATAGTTGGATCATAAGGGGCATTTTCGCAGATTTCATCAGCCCATTTACATGCTTTTGCTATATATATAAAAATTATTTATAAAATTATAAAATAAAATGATTATAAAAATAAAAACCTATAGCTAAACGCTCTTCATATTAGAGAACTGGAGGTCCTTTCCTTTTTGTGATTTCATCCTGAGCAATAACTCCTACAACTAAAACTTCACAATATTATTTAGCCTTTTTTTTAATTATTAATATTATAAAAATATAAATAAATATTTAATTTTACTTATCTTATAGCATTAAAATGTCCAGAATGCATTAAATCAAAGCAACCATCTACATATACTCTTTTAACTTTTTATTATTTAATAGGAGAAAGATTATTTCTTATTTATGGTTAAGATTATACTTATAATTTCTAAAATTCAGATTATATATATTATCGGAATTAAGTTATTCTTATATCTACGTCTTTTTAAAGATTTTAGTTTTAATTTTATTTGGAGACTTACAATATTCTTTGTACAAAACTTTATTCTTCGAACTGTCTATTATTTATTAATTAAGCAAGCAATTAAGCTAAAAATTAATCATTTTTTAAATCTTGTTTGTCAGTTTCCATTTTTTTTAGATATTTTTATTTATTTAATTTTTAAATTATATATATGTGTTTATTTTTTGTTTAAAAACAAAACAAGTTATAGTATTCGATTTTAATAAAAATAAAGATATTTTTATTAATTCTTTAAAATAATTTGAAAATTAATAAGGAAATCAATTTTTCCTTTTCTGTATTATAATGTATATTCATAAATAAAATTTAATATAAAAAAACAATTTGAAATTAATAATAATATAAATATAGAAAAAAAATAATATTAGTAAAATAAATATTTTATTATATAATATTTATTTAATAAAGAAAAGTATCATTTATAATCACGGAAAATAGATTTTATATGGAATGAATTTTCAGGGCTTTTTAAATTTTATAAATTAGTAAATTTTTAAACCTAAAATAATTGTTCTTATTATTCAAACAAATGTTTATTATTATTGTTTTATTTTCTAAAAGAATTTTAAAAAGAAGGATTATTAGTAGTACTTATAGAATTACTTAATTAAGGTAATTAAATAATATTTTTAAGTACGGAAAGAGAATAATTTTTTTTATTTTAGAAAATATCCATATTATTTTAATTTGCTTAACTTCTCAAGATAAAGCTTTCATTATCTTATTTAGGTTGATTTTATTTAGAAAAAAAAGTTTAAAGAATATATGAATAATCTCCTGAACAACTAATTCGAGATTTTTTAGTTTTTATATTCATTTAATTTAGAATTTAGGCCAATTAACCTTAATTAAATATTTTAGTTGGTAAACTTTGAATATTAGTAGATTCTTAATTATTAGATTAAGAAAAAGAACATTTTTAAGACTGAGTCTTTTTATTTGGTAAATAATCTTTACAAAGAGCATATTAATAAAAATTCTAGCAAACATTTTCTTTAAAAAACTTATTTTTTTAATTACTAACATTCACGTCTTTTTAGAAATTATTTTTATATTTAATTTATTCTATATTATTAGAAAAGGAAGCTTTTTAAGATGGAGAAATTGCTTTCTATCTATTATTATTTCTCTATAAGCTATTACATTATATTCTTTTAAAACATTAATATTATATTTTTTATATAAACATAAAATAAATACTTTTTTTAATTTAAAGACTAATCTAATTTCTTTTATAACTCTTATGTTTATTTCGAATAATGAGTAGAAGCATTTTTATGCTCATTATAAAGAATTTTTTCTTTATATTTTTAATCTAAAAAAAATAAAATATCATCTCCTTCAAGCATTTTAGGTTTTTTTTTGATTAATTTTTTTTCCTAGTGTTTTTCCTATTCATTAATTTTAAAAGCATTTGTGGCTTAGGCTACTCTTTTGTTAACTTCCATTCTTTTTAGAGTTGGTCCTTTAATTTCGTTTATAAAAACTTGCTTCATTTTATCAAATTAGAGGTCTAGGGGCGAAAATTAGTCCTTCATAAGTAAAATTTCTTTATTTTTTTCAGCGTTATTTTAAGTATTTGTTTCTTGTTAGACTTTTATTAAAAAATCAACAATTTTTATATTTTTTAATTCCCTAAAAGACATTTACTTAGAGTATTTTTAAAAAATTACATCTATAATCTTTAACGCATAAATAACCTTCTTTTTTTATTATTAAGATTTATCGTTTTCTATATTCCATAGATATAGGTAAAGGATGATTTATATTCAAACTTCCCTTTAAAAATCCAGTTTTTCTATCCCAAATTTTAATATAAAAATCCATAGATCCTGTTAGTAAATATTTTTCATTTAAAAAAAGTATTTTTATTTATGTTATAATGTCTTTATGAGCATTCGGAATATTAAAAAAGAGAATTTTTTTATAAAAATAAGGTTTCTTATATGATATTTTCCCCTCATCACTTATTTTACTACTTGGATTTATTAAAATATTTTCGTAATTTAATTGATAAACATTCTATAAAATATTAAAATATAAATAAAATATTATATATATTAATATATATATATATATATATATATATATATATATCAATATACATTTATAATTTTTAATATATAATTTTTACTTTTAAAAAATTTTCCTAGCAAACTCTATTAGCATTATAATTTTATCTTTTATTGGCATGTTCTACATAAAAAATATTATCAAATTAAGAAATAATATTTAATAAATCTAAAGCAATAATACTCCCTTTATTTAAAGCACAATAAAGGTTACAAACAGAAATTTAATTTTGTAAACTTAATTCATAATCGACTACAAATTTGCACACAAAATATTAGTTTTTCTCATTTTATTCAAGTTAAATCTAATTATTGCTTTATTTTTGAATATCTTACTCTGCAAAATTCTAAGGTTGTGCATATTTAGAAACTGATTTACAAAAAATATTATTTTTTTATTATTATTTATTTTTATTAGTAAATTCTAATTGATTAATAGTTTGATAAGATAAGTTACTTTTAGAAGTATTACTGTCTGTTTGTATATTATCAATAAAATTAAATCTTATTGAATATTTTGATTTTTAGTTTAAATTTTAAAATCTTTTTTTATCTTTTTAGGCATTTATAGGTGTTATATTTTGATTTTTTTCTGCTGATATGGATATACTTTCTTTTTTTTATTCCTCTTTTGGAGTTTTCTTTAAACCTATTAACAAATCAATATCTAATATAGCAATAAGTTTTGCACTAAACTGGAGTTCTTTTTTATTAAAATGCATAACATATACATATCCATCATTTGAAGCTATTAAAACAAGACAAAAACCATTAATTACTCTAATTGATGTTGGTTCAGTCTATACATTTTTTGATAATTTTTATTTTAAATAATAATAATAAAAATACATTTAAATTTAATTCAATACATGAAAGCAATTTAGTAAATTCATAATCATAAATATATATTTTTTCAGAATTAGAAGCCATAAATAAAAGATTGTGATAAACAGAAAGTTCGATAAAAGTAATTTCCTTATTATAAAAGCAATTATTGATTTATCTTTTTATTTCAAATGTTTTTTCGTTTAGATTTTATATTTTTATACTTGAATCCCAAGAACCAGAAATGATCATATCATTTAAATAGTCAAATTTTATACACGTTACTTCATTACTATGTGAGCCTAATTTATGTAATAATTCACCATTAAACATATCATGTAATTCTATATTTCCTTTATTATTTCCTATTTATATAAATATATAAAATACTATATATTATTTATTAATTTAAATATATATTATACCTATTATAAATTTGTTTCCTTAATAATATTATTTAAATACAGTTATATCATCTGTTTTTTCGAATAAACCAACAAAAATTTAAGAAATCTTACCATTATCTAAATCAATAAATCTATATGAAAAAAAAAATGTTCTATAAATAAATAAAATAAATACCTAATGTCTTTTCTAGTAATAGCCACAATTTAATCTTACAAAAAATCAATTTTAACCGGAAACAGTTCATTTTTTTTATTTTATTTTTTTATAATAATATCCTTTTCCGAAAAATCGATCATATTAATCCTAGTTCCTAAAAAACATAGCTTCCCTTTCTAATAAATATTAATAAGTTTCGTAATAATAGTCTTCAGGCCACAATTAATCGACTAAATACACTTAAGGGTCCTTATGTCCCAAATTTTTATAGTTCCTGTATCATCTGCACTCAAAATCATACAAGTTTTTTCAATACAATCAACAGTACTAACCATACTTTGATGTCCAATAAGTTCTCCTTTATAAATAATATCAAAATTATTTGGTTCTAAATTATAAATATAAACATTATTAGAAAAACCAGAACATACAAATACTTAATAAGTTTAAAAATAACTAAAAGAATGAACTCCAGCCTTTGAACATTCAATCTATTAAATAATTTAGTTTTTTTAAAAATCCCATACTGTTATTAATTTTTCTAATGAACCCACAGCCAATAATTTAAACTATTAAATTTCAACAACATTAAATATTGATTGTTTTATTTTTGGAGAAGATAAAGTTTTAATAATTATCTCCTTTTCCAAATCCCATACATATAATTAATTCTTATTACTAGTAGTTATCCAAGAATTAATGAATTCAATATACCAAATATTCGTTTAATATTAACTTATCAAATTCTGAATTTAAATCTCTTTTTCATATTTAAAATTATCACATTTATCCCAAAATATAAGCTTAAAATCTTTCATAGTAGCCCCTAATCTTTATTACTTTTCACTCCAAGCAATCCCGAAGATTATATTTTCATTCAGTCTTGTTTATTTTACTTATTCAGATATATTTTTGCTTGAAGGCTTTATTATTTATGTTTATTTACAATTTATGTCATGTATATTTATTTTATCTGATAAAGTATCTATACTTATTATACTATTTATAGCTTCAGCATATAGTCCTCTTAAATATTTAAAATAAATAAAAAAAATTAAATTTATTTTACGCTTTAACATTATGATTTATATGATGAGTTGAATCTGTTTATATTTATTATTTTACTAGCCTTTATATACCTTCATCATTTTTACCATATATTGGAGCCATATTAATATCTACATCTCTTACTTTTGAAGGATCAATTTTATATTTTTATTATTCCGGAAAATTAAAAGATTAAATTTTGTATTGACTATGATTTTTTTATTGTTTACTCTTAAAAAAAAAGAAAAAAAGATATACATTTATATATTTTTAATATACGTCACATATATATGATGTTATATCACTCATTTATATATATTAAGAAAGGCTAAGTTTTTATGATATTGACCTAAATAAATCAATTGAAGCAATTATGATATATATTGCTTCATCATCTCTTTTTATAATATTTGAAATAAAATATTTAACAAATTCTATAATGTCTATTTTTTTTAATTTAAAATAATTATCTAAATCTATCATTCTATCTTTTTCGAGGACTTAAATGATAAAATTTTCATTAATATTTTCATATAATATGAAATTTTTTTCGTTTCGATAATTAATTATTTTTTAAACTAATTCATCTAAATTAAAATTCGATATACTCGAATCATTTGGGTTTATTATCATTTATTTAGCCTTAATTTTTATTTAATATAAAAAGAATAATTTAGTTTAGTATTTTAATATAATTATTATTTTTTCTTTATAATTTATAATTAAATATTTTTATTCATAATCATGCTTTATAAAATATTTATTCAAAAATAAGTTGTCCTAAAAATAAATATTTTTACGAAATATGTTAAAAAAAAAACAAAACAAAAAATTTAAAATAAATATTATTAAAAAAACATAAAAATTATAATTAAATAAAATTATAATTTTTAAACAAACTAATATATCATTATTACATAGCAACCTTATCAATTTTACTTGGCAAAAGATCAACCATTTCATTACACATTTGCAATTCATTTGCGAAATTAACATCAATAACTCCATTTTTATACACATCTTTTTAAATATAATTCGATATCCATTTATAAACATTCAAAGACTACTTAAGTGCTTCAATTCTATCTTTTTTTTCTTGTTCGAAGATTTTCGAATATGCCTTAGCTATATTAAACTTCGCATTAATTACTGAATGATGGAACTAAGTATCTCTTACCATATCTTTGTCTTCAAAAAGTAAAGACGAAATTTTTTCGTAATGTTCAATCGCTTTTTTGGCCCACTTATTCATTTCTGCAATTTTACTTGGTTTTGGTGTTTTATTTTAATTATTAACAAAAAGTTCCTGAAATTTAATTGTATACATATCATTGTATATTTCAGCGATTTCGACAAGCAATTTTTAAGAAGTTTCAATGTAGGCCTTAGGATTTAATTCATTGTAAATAGGCTCTAATAACTCCGCTCTTTTTTCAAGTATGGTAACTATCTTTCCTATATTATCTTCTAATTGTATAATATTTTTATATAATTTGGATTAATCTTATACTATTTAAACATGTTCTGTAACGAATCCATTCAAAACAAAATGTTCCAAAGCCCTTTTATATTAAGTATTGGCTTGTCTAAAAATACTCTTCGCGTCTTCTACATTTTAGGGAACTTTAAGATTAACAAACTATAAATTTACAATAGAATCAAATACAAGATTTTATTTATTAATTATATTAGTGAAATTTTTTATTTCCTATTCTTTATTTAATTCAGTTTTTAAAACTTTTACAGAATATTCCAAAAAATCCAAAAGCATTCTTCCCAAACTCATATGTATAGTGGCTTTAAGTTTCTTTTTTTCCCTTAAGGCACTACACTTTCCCCACACAACAAAATATATTAAGCTTATGCAAAATGACCTATTCCTTGATAATATTCAGCTAAATTAATACAATTTACGCAAAAGTCTTTTATTTAAAAAGTCTAAGTAGAGTGCTATCTTTTCATTGTTTCACCACAATACTATGCAGCTAATTCTTTTTATCCAAATTTAGTGTAGGCTTAGGCTAAATAGAAGAGGGTATGAGTGAAATTAGACTCTATTTTTTGATAGAAAATGCCTCCGGAGTATGTATAAGTAAATTTTTGCGAATTTTATTCCTATAAAAGGTTCGAATAAGACTCTTTTTAAGTAATTTTGTATTCGGGAAGTAGTTTTAGATAGTTATATAAGTCTTTGCTTTTACCCAAAAGAGATAGGCCAATTTAATTTTCGTCTCTGTTAATGTATAGGAGTCCAAATATATTATATATTTCTTAAACATAGGTTAAATATGGACGAATTTTTTCAACTTCTAATTACTAGAAAAGTTCTAAAGATTGCTTATATTCAGATTCGGCTTGTGAGTTTTCTTCTGTATCAGAAAAATTAGCGCCTAATTTAAATTTTATGATTGCTTTGCATATTATTTTTTGCTCATTTTGGGTATATTCTGGATTAGAGAAATATTCGTGGTTTAAAAGGGCTTAAAGGATTTCCCGAGATTTGTATTTATTGTCAAAAGGTCTTTCTTCGGGTGCAGGAAGGTTATATAAATATTCGGCTTCTTCAAGTTTTTCTTAAAAAGTTAATTTTAAAAATATTTATTCTTTATTCATTTTTTTTTAATATTTTTTTGTTTTTTTTTTTTCCTTTTTTTTCCTTTTTTATTTCCTTTTTTTTTTTTTTTCGGATATTATTTTTTTTTTTTGAAAAAAAAAAAATATTATTATTTTTAATTTTTTTTTAAAAATATAATAAATGTTCTTTTCACATATATTTATTTTCGAATTCTTAAAGTGTATCAGGACATGCACGTAATTTTCCTTTGTTTAATTCTTTGTCAGAAAGCAAACAAATAAGTAGACTATCAGAAGCCATTCCATAAATATTCATAAAAATAGATCCGACAGTATAAGAAATAACAAAAAAGACCTTTTTTTTTTAAAAAAAAAAATTAAATAAAATAATAATATTTAAAATTTTCTTACAAAACAAACAAATAAATGTGAAAATATCTTATCATTGAAATATTTTACATTCATAATAATTATATATCCAGAACCTGTACATAAGATAGAAATGAAATATTTACCAAAAGTAGAAAAAATACTTCCTATTCCTTAAGAAATTTACATTTAAGATTAATTTCTATATACAATAGAAAATGATTATTTTGCAGAATTAATAAAACTTTCACCTGTTAAAGCCACGATAATAAATGCATTATTATTAATAAATCTAATATATTTTTCAAAAGAAAATAAACAACATCTGCAACATTTAATAAAATAATTTTAAGTATTATTATCAGAAACAACTACTTTTTTAATATCATTATATATTTAATTAACTAAAAATTTAATTAACTAAACTATACTAATAATTAAACTTCCAAATAACACAGAACCTATAAATTTCAATAAAAGTTAATATAAAATAAATAAATTAATTAAATAAAACCAAAATGGAATGTCATAGCCCTTGTAAAAGATTTTAATACACTATTTTATGTTTAACAATAAGGTCTATGTGAAAAATACCACATACAAGCAGCACTTGCAATAGTTAATTAACATACAGCAATAGAAAGTTCTATATTCCAAAATAAACCAAAAATATAGTAAAATATTTAAAATTTAGTAATTGAATTCAATTCTAATTATGGTAAAGGACTAATTTCGTTGTTTTTTATTTTTCCAGAAGAAAATATATGTAATACAATATATGTCCAAAACGCAAAATATAAAAAAACGAAAATTGATAATAAAATTGGTATAAAGAATATACTAAAAGTCTATTTTTTTTTTTATAAAATAATAAAATTTATATATTTACTTTTCTTGTAAAATCTGAAGATGCCTTCATTATAGCAATTGAGCTTCTAATTTTAGAAAAATAGCAAATAAAAATAATAAATGAAAATATGGTAATTAAAAATAAGAAAAGTCCTATTAATTAAAGTTTCTATCTTTGTTCTTCATATTCCTAATTATTAAATATACAAATAAATCCTAAAGATATTAATCCAATAAAATATCCACTAAATATAATCCAAGTAATAAATCCAGCACAAATTCTCAAAAGAAATAAAAAAATTAATCTATATTAAATTTATTAAAAATAAAAATAATTTGTTATGTTTTTTTTTTCTTTTTACGAAACACAAAAAGATAATATAAATATTCCAATAAATAATGGAATTGCTGTTTTTAGATCACTTATATATTATTCAGGATTTCCAATATTTAATATATCTCTTAAATATTGTATTTCTTCACTTTATATAGGAATACATAAAGATAAAACTTTTTATAAATAAAGATTTAATAAGAAAATTATTAAAAAAAAAAAAAATTTTACATTTATTTGATATATAATTTTCAATTTAATTACAATCTTAAATATATTTATTTCTCAAACAATAAACTTTTTATTTACTTTAATCAACTATACATTCCTTTACGCAAGCATAATATTTATCGAAACCTAATGAAGATTTTAAAATATTATTAAAATGCATGTAAGGATAATCCTAAGCTTCACCGAATCCGCATTATCTTCCTATAAATATTATAAAAATTTGTAAAATAATTAAATTAAATATTAAAAATAAAATATAAATATTTATGTATATATATAAATATATATATATATATATTTATATATTTTTTTATATTTAAAAACCATCAGGATCAAATGGAGAAAAAATCTTATTTATATTTCCGTTTTCAATAGCAAAAGATGCAATAAATATTGTTCCAATCCAAAATAATATATAAATAAATATAAATGTTATATCTTTAAAACTACGTTACGATATTGGACCACAAGTTATTAATGGATTCAATTCTTCTCCTTTATAGATTTTTTCCTATTAAGATATCAGATGATGATTTTTTTTTGTATTTGCAATCATTTAGTTATATATTTTTTACTAGATTTTAGATTAAATCTTATTTTTATTATAATATTTTTATAAATTTTTTATAAATAATTGTTTAATTCTTTTTTAACTTTTTATAGAAATTAATTAATTATAAATTATTTTTAATAAATTAACACCACAGTTATTCAGAAAATATTAGAAAAAAAATAATTTAAGAAAAAGTATTTATTTACTATTAAAAAATTTACTTTTTTTAATTTTTTTTTTTAATTAATTTAAAAGTTATATAATAACTATTATATTTTGATCTTAAAAAAATATATCATATTTAATATTTATTATCATAAATAAAAAAATATAATTTTTTTTTTAAATATTATTACTTTTTAAGACATTAAAAAAAAAATATAATTTGAATTAAAGTCATTATTATTTATTTCTTTATATATTAATATCGAATTAAAAAAACTATATATTAATATATTGTTTTCTTATTTAAATTTAATAAATTATTAAATTTAAATTATAAAATAAATTTATTTTTTAAAAATTCATAAATTTATTTATATTTAAAATTTATTTTACGATAAATTTATCAATTTTTTATAATAAAAATAAATAATAAAATTATATTATTAATAAAAAAAAAATATTATTTTAAATTAATATTCAAATTAATTTTAAAAAGAACTAAAAAATAATAATGATATTTTGAAATCAAATAATTATTAATATTTTTTTAAAAAATATAAAAATAAAAACAAAAATAAAAATAAAAGGGGAAAAAAAAAAAAAATTCAAACAATTTTTTTTAAAGGAATAAGTTAAATACTATTAGATATTTTTTTTACTACTGAATTATAATGTATAATATTTTAACTATTAAATTAGCTAACATTTTTTTTGACACTATATCTTCTATCTAATTAATTATTTTCCTTGTTTTTACTATTAACAATAGGCGGTAATATCAGCTCCTAATAATTATTATTATTATTTTTCCTTTCTTTCACCGATTACTCAATTGAGCAACTTCTATTAATTTATAAATCTTTAAATTTTTTGGATTTATATTCCGTCAATTCTGGAGCCGACTACTCTCCATATTCATACTATGAACTTGGCAAAATCGAATTTAGGCTTTTTAAATTTCTTCCTATCCGAATAGTTTTTAATAAAATTTCATTATTATCCGAAAGATACTCGTCATCATTTCCTATTAAATGTAATCTTTTTTAAATCTGAGAACTTTAAAGTAACTCATTAGCACTCATTCTTTTTCTACTATTAACTTATAAACAATATTCCAAAAATTCACTTAACTCCTGACTATAAAACTCAGGAATTTATTAATATTATCCCTTTTAAACTAATTTAAATAATCCTTCCATCGAACTTGCCCTAAAAGGAGGATTCAAAGCAATTAATTCATAAAAAACACACCCCAAACTCCATATATCGCTCTTCGAATTATAAGGCTTATCTCTCCAAACTTCCGGAGAAGCATAATAAGGAGTCCCCGTTTATGTATATAAAAGACCCTATTTCGCTACTTTAGATACATTCAAATCTCCCAGTTTAATTTTTTTATGATCCCGTGAAAGAAAAGCGTTAGCCGATTTAATATCTCTATGAAAAATATTCAAATTATGTAGCTTTTTTAAACCCTTAGTTAATTATATTATATATGACCATATTATTTATTCATCTAAGTATTAGTTTTTTTTCTTTAAAGTATTGATTTTATGAAGTAAATCCCCTCCAGCACAATAATCCATTATAATATGGAGAGTGTTCGATTATTCTTCGTAAAAAGACTCTTTATAAGATATTATTTAATCACATTTTAATGAAGCCAAAAAACGGATTTCATTTATGGCGTTTTCGCGTTCTTTTTAAGATAATTATTGCAATTTTATACTTTTCATCGCATAATCGACTTTATCGGATATTCGTGTAACTTTTTAAACGACTGAATATGCACCTTCTCCCAATTTGCGGATTACTTAGAAATCTGAAAGTTTTGATTGCATTATTATATATAAATTTTAATTATTTTTAACTATCTTTTAGTATTTTTTATATTTATTAATAAATTATTTTATATTTATATTTTTTTTAATTATCTTTTATATATAAAAAGAAAGTCAATATTTCTTGATTTTAAAATAATTATTATAAAAAGTTTCTCATATTAATATATTTAATAAACACTAGTTATATTATTCTATAATTTTTTTATAAAATTAAAACAAAAATTAATCAAAAAAATTTAATTATTTAATTTTATATATGATTTAAAAAATTAATATTTATATATAAATCAAACATTTAAATAATAAAATATTAAAAATAATAGATTATAATATTTTTACTATTTAATTAATTATTTAAATAAATAATTTTATACCTATATTTAATTCTATTATAATACTCAATTTAAAAAATTTCACTATATAATATTATAATCTAATTTTTTGTTTATTATAAACATAATGTTATATTCTTTTTTATTAATAAATTTTTTATACTTATTTTGACATTTATTTAGTTTTCTATGCTTATATTAATTAATCCATAATTTGTATTATTTTGATATATAAAAGAAAAATAAATAAATAAATTTTTTGATAAATAAAGAGAAATATTAAAAAAAGTATGCAACATTCTATAAAATTATCTAATTAAAATATTATTTTAATATTCAAAAAAAAAAAAAATCTTATATTTTTGTGTAAAAATTAACTTCAATAATTCAATGTATTTCTTAATAAATTATTTTTTATAGCTAATACTCTATTTTAATTCATGAAGTCTTATATTTTTATGTAAAAACAATAATATACTAAAGAAATTGCCTCCATTTAATAACTATTCAATTTTACATCAATTGTAACGCTCAATAGGTAATGCTTAAAATTAACAAATAAATAGCTAGAAAATCTAATAAAAGATTATTTTTAAGACTTTCAATCGTTATGATTTTAAAAAATCATAAACTTAAGTAATTGTGAATATTTAAAAATGCAAAATTATTTTAAGACTTCAAACTCCCAAAAAGAAAAATTATGCTCTAACTTTTATTACACGAGAAAATATTTTAAAAAGACAAAAACGAAAATTAAAAAAAAAAAAATTAAAAAAGTTGAAAGATTATCAAAGCATGATAAATTTTATGCAATAAAGCAAATTAATTTCTTTAAAATTTGGAAAATTTTGAATTAATAAATGAAAATGATAAGATTATAGAAAAAAAAAATGTAGTTTTAATGATAAAAATACCTAAAAAATTAAACTTATGAGCATAATTTTAATATACATAAGTTTTCTTTTTCCTAAAATAAAGCCTTTATTAAAAAATATTCATTTGGCATAAAAATAATCAAAAATTCCTTTAAAATACCAGCTTTAAAAGCAAATTCAATTTAGCTTAAATTTATCAAATTTAAATGCATAAAAATATTAAAAAAGTTGAAAATTAGAAAAAAATACTCTTTTTTGAATAAAAAATCTAAATTTTTTAACTTTCTTTGATGAAAAAATGTAAAAGTTATGGCTTAAAACCACTCCTTTATTTTTGAAAACATTAATTTCAATCAATCCAAAAACAAAAAGCCAATTAGTTTCAATAAATTATTAAATAAATAATTAAATGATATAATAAATATAATATTTAAAGATAAAATAAACTTTTTTAAAATGAAGGTTAAATGAAAATTTATTATTTATAAATTTAAATACTGAAAAAAAATAAAAATATAAAAACTATTACAAAAATATTAAAATATTCAAACTCTAGATGGAAGAAATATTTGAAAAAAATGTAATAGATAAGATTTAATTTTTAAATAAAATCCCCCTTAGTATAAAGATATAAAGCGCATAAAAAACAAAGGATTGAAATAGAAAAGAAAAATACTCAAAAAGTAATATATTTCAGAATTTATTTAAATAATTAAACAATAATATCTATTTTTATAGATATAATTATCAAAAAAATTATAAGTCTATTTTCAGAATCTAATTTTTAGATAAAGATGAAAATTCCTGATATATATATATATATATATATATATATATATATATATATATATTTATATATAAATATATATATTTATATATATTTATATCTTTTATTTTTTTTATTTTTCAAATTTTAATTTAAATATGTATAAAATGTATATATATATTATTACTAAAAAAAATTTATATATTTTCAAAACTTATAATTTATTTATTTAGTAATAATTGGCTTTCTTGTTCTAATTTTATTTTTACCAGATCCTGGGAATCTCGGAACCGGTAAAACAAATTATTCTTTTTCTTCTACATCTTTATCTTCTTATTATTATTTTAAAATATCTTATTACCACCTTGGTACATTATATTCAACATCAGCTCCTCTTTTTCTAATATTTTCCATTTTTTTAACGACCCTTTTAGGGGGAACTGTTTTTCTTAAATTAATAGGAAATTTTTCAGGGAAGAAAAGTTCTCTTAATTACAAACAAGTCATATAAATGCATTTTACACTGCCTCCTTTTTCTTTGATTGCTTTAATAACACTTTCACTTGCATCACTAACTTCTAAATTTAAAGGACGATCAATAAAATTGAGTCCTCTTCCCACAATTTTAATTCCATATTTAGCACTATGGAAAAGACCTGCGTCAAACATTACTTTCATTGTTATAGGCTTTGTGGCATCGATTCTACCTTTTTAAATGAAATACATTAAATTTTTAATATTTATTGCTTTGGGTTTTTCTAGATTTCTTTTATTTTATTTTTAAAAATATTTTTATTTTATTTTTTTAATAATTTTTTTTTATATCAAAAAATATGTTCATAATTTATATATACTTCATTATTACAATTTCTTCATTCCAAATTTAGGAACTCTTCTAAACCAAGGTGTTTGTCCTCCTTCGAATCTTATATGTACACCTCCATTAGATCTATGTCCATGTCCGTTCATACCCCTGGCTGATGTTTTTCTTTTTATGTTTTTTTTTTTTATCTAATTTAATTTATGGTTATTTTATTACCCTTTGCCTGAACCTGGACCTCTTCCTAATCTTTTAGAATTTCTTCTGTATTCTTTTTTATATTTTGGTTATTATTTTTATTTAACTTTTTTTTTTAATTTTACATTGTATATTCCATAAATTATTTATTGTAAATGGGGCTAATTCTATTCCTCTAAATGTAGGTATTTCGTTTGCCCTTTCTTTTGTTCCACCAAAAAATTAAATGTTGATAAATTTGTGTAAAGGATTTATTTATATTAATTTTATGTTGCTTTTTAGTAAAGATTTAAACATTTTTTGTATCTTATTTTTTAATAAATGGATATATATATTATTTTTAACTTAATTTAATAAATTAAAAAAATAGATATATAAAAATAATTTACAATAAAAAAATTTATTTTATATTAATATAATTATACATATTAAATAATATAAATTATAATAAAATAAAAATATTGAATTTATTATAATTTTATTAAAAAAAAATATTTTTAAAATGAAAGATTATTATTAAATAATTATTATATAAACATATATTATTTATTATTATAAAATATTGTTATAAAAACAAAATATTTATATAAAATATAAAAATATTTTATTTTTAATAAAAATATAGTAAAATTAATAAATAAAATATTTAAAAAGTTAAAAAAATATTTTTATTTATTATTTTTTTAATTTAATTTAACTAAATAATTTTTTAGTTAAAAAACAATATAAATATATCATTTCTTAAAAATGTAATCAAAAAAATTAACAATAAAATCCCTATTATGCTCATCTTAAACATTTTCCTTAAAATATAAGTTATCAAAAATATTTTTTATATCGTTTTAACTAAAAAGGTTATCTATAATATGTTCATGTATTTTTTCATCTTTATCCTTTAATTTACTTAACTTTTTCATTTGTTCTTCCATATCTTCTTTTTCAAAAATACCTTCCTTAAATGATTCTGTATATATAAATTCTTTCATCAAATTAGGATAATTTCTTTTAAGTTTATTAAATTTAGTCGTATGTGAAGACTTGTTTTAATTGTTTTCAAAAAGTCTCAAAAAATATTCAATACTATATTCAATATCTTATTATTTCATTATATTTTTAATTTTTTTAATAATAAAAAATAAATTAAAATATTTATTAATATTAAACTATTATAAATATTTTAGTTTTTTTATAAATTTTATTTCAATCAATTTTTTTTTTCTATAAAAATATAAAATATTCTATTTCTTCATTTAGTATTTCAAGTCTAGTTTATTTGATTCTCTTTTAAAATTTTTTCAAAGAAAACTTTTCATTATTAAATACATTATTGATAGTTAAAGAAGCATATATATTATAAGCAAAAATAACATTTTTCTAATGTTCTTTTTTATACTAATAAAAAATAAAAAACTTTTTAGTATAAAAAATTTACTTTTTAATCCTAATCTAATTTATTATAATTATTAAATAAAAAAAGCATTAGATTATAAAAATTTTTAGAATATAATTATTAAAAATTCTCATTAAATTCATTTAAATTATTTTACATTTAAAAAAATGCAAATTCATTATCGAAACCGAAATTCTCTTCTTTCCAAATTTAAATACATTTATTTTAAAAATTTGAACTTTCTTCAATGAAATCAAAATAAAAACTAAAAAATTTAAAATATATTCTTTTTTAAACTTTTATTTTATTAAAATTTCTTTTTTTTTTGTTTATTTTGTTTTTAAAAAAAATACTTTTCAAAAATGCAATATTCTCACATAAAAATTAATAAATTTCTATTATTTTTTTCCTTAATAAAAATTCACATTAAAAAAATAAAACTTATGTATTATTTTCAATTATTTTTTTTTTTTTTATAAAAAAATTAAGTTATTTTATAAAAAAACACCCTTTTTTATATTAAATAATTAGATTCTTATTATTTACTAAAAAACCTGTATTTTATCTTGTAAAATCTTCTCTTTATTCGATATTATATTTATTTTATATGAAATTAAATTAATCTTATTAATAATTAATTTTATTTTATCCAAATAAATCTTAATTAATTTTTTTTTCTTCAAAATTATCTTTATTTAATTCAAAATTATCTTCTTTTTGTTTAATATTATCTTCATTTTATAAAAAATTATCTTCATTTTATTAAAAATTATCATTATTTTATTATAAATTATCTTTCTTTTTTTATAAATTATCTTCAATTTATTCAAAATTATCTTTATTTTGTTTAAAATTATCTTTATTTTGCCCTAAATTATCTTCATATATATTTTGAAAAAAGTTCTCATACTTTTTTTATTCTAAAAAATAATTTTTTTAACTACAATAATTTAAGCAAAATAATTAATTCTTATTTAATAAATTTTCATTGTTTTCTAAAAAATAATTTTCATTAATAATAAAAAACTCAAATATGTTTTTCCAATCAATTCTTTCATTAATTTCAAAAATAAGCATTTTTTCAATTAAAAATACAAGTTTTTCATCAAGAATTTAAAATTAATAATTTTTAACTAAAAAGTTATCCACAAAACAAGGCAAAACTCCAAAAAATACATAAAAAAGAGTCATTCCTAATGAAAAAATATCACTTTTTATTTCCCAACCATCTCCTTTTTCTACTTCAGGAGCCATAAAAGGCTAAGTACCTATAAAGTAAAGACTTTTTTTATTTTTTTCTTTAAAAAAATCTATTTTAGATACACCAAAATCAATTAATTTAATATTCTAATTTTTATCTATAAGAATATTAAATGGATTTATATCTCTATGAAAAACTGATTATTCATAAAGATATTTTATTGCTTAAACTATTTAAAAAATAATTTTTTTTTTTTCAAAACTAAAATTATTTTTAACGAAATCCCACAAAGTGCCCCCACTTATATATTGTAATTATAAATAAACGTGATTTTTTGTTAATTTTTAATCTAATAAATAACAAATATATATATTCTGTAAGTTTTTATGTAAAAATATTTCCAAAAAAAATGGACAATGAATGTTTTTAAGAGAATTATTTATATTGATTTCTTTTATAACGAAATATTATTAACTCAAAATATTTTAACATAAATAAACTTTAGAAAAAATTGAATATTTTAAAACATTAATAATTTTAAAAATGTTTTTATCATCAAAAATTATATTATTCATTAAATATATTTAAAAAAAATATTAAGATAAAATATATAAAAAATAATATATAAAATTAAAAAAATATTATATATATATATATATATATATATATATATATATATATATATATATTCATATTTTTTATATATTTCTAATTAAATATATTTATTAATATGTATATTTAATATATATTTATATTAATTAATGTATTTTTTTATATATTTATTTTTTAAATATATATTTTTAAATATATTTATATTTATTTATATTATTTTAAATATTTTTTTATATATTTATTTTTTAAATATATATATTTATTTTATTAGTATTTATTTAATTATTTATATAATTTTTTTTTTTTTTTTAATTTTTCTATTTATAAACTTAATTTCAAAAATAAAAAGAATGTTTTTTATTACTATAGATTTTTTATTTTTATCATCATTACATAATAATTTGCGTAAAAAATAAAAATATATACTGATAAGTTATATATATATATATATATCAATATATAAATTTTTCAATTTAATAATTCTTCTAGTTATTTCTAAATTTCATCTTTTTGATTTTAATTTACTTTTTATTAATTTTCAGTAAAATTAGTTTTTTCTTATATTTTTTCTTTAACCATGCTTTATTTCTTAATTTCACTTATATTTTTTTTATTATCATCATTTTCGAAATTTTCATTAATAAAATCTTTAAGATATTCGTCTTTTTAGTTATTAAAATTAAACTCTTCAATTAATTGATTACACTATTAATTTATTTATTCTCCTTCTTTTATCTCTTCCAACATTTCATGCAATTTTTCAATATCAATTTGTGTATTTTTAGCTGCTTAAATACCTTAATTTAATGCTTTAGATGTTTAATTTTTCTAAATATTTTCTTCAATATTTAATTTTATCTTAATTAAACCTAATTTTTAATTATTTAAACTCTATACTGTTTACTAAATGATAGTTTTTTCTTATAATATACCCGCTGCATGATCTTTTTTACCTTAAACTAATTTAAGTTTAGCTTTCTAGAGAATCTCATTATTTGTTTTTTCATAAAGCTATATTGATGTTTCTATTTATTGTATTTGTTCTTCTAAAAAATAAAGAGATTTATAAGATACTTATAAAAGATCCTATTCTTATGGGTTTTTTTTTATAAAAAAGTGCCACTTTTTTCGAGTTTTAGTATTAATAAGTATTTAATTTACCTTCCTTTTCCAAAACTTCGATTAAAAGTGAAATTTCTTTACTAGAAATACTCATTATCTATTAAATTTCCTCAAAAAATGTATCCTTTGATAAAATTCTTGCATAAAACCAATTTAATTCATCTAAAATACTCCTAAAACTCTATAAATTTTCGTCAAATAATTTCCTAAAAACAATTATTTATTAAGAGTTAATTTCCGGTTTTTTTTTATTATTTTTCCATAAAAAACTAAATAGACTTCTTTGTTATTACTATTAACTATTTTTATCATCTTCTAATATATAAAAATCATTTTCTATTATTAATTCTTATATTACTTTTCTAAACACAAAGGCGTAAAACCATTAAAAGTGAATAAATTTTAAATTTCACTTAATGTAAAATGACTTTAATTTAAATATTCCTTTAATACTTTTGTTATACATTAATTCCAGAACTTTAATAGCTTTGGCTTTTGTTTAGAATAATCAAATTATACATAATATGGGATTAATGTCTTTTTTTAGTGAAATTCTTTTATTTATAGCAATACTAAAGATAATTTTGGAGAGGATTTTTTTAAATATTCTGGAGTGTTTTCTGGAATTATTATACTTTTTTGCATTTTATATATTTTATTTTTTTTATAATCAAAAAAATTGTAATTTTTTTTATATTTTTTTTTTTAAAAAAAATAAAAAATATAGTATATATAAATTATTTAAAAAAAATAAAGAAAAAACTCAACACAAATAAAAAATAAAATAAAAATTTCACTTATTTTTTTCAAAAAAAAAAATTTATTTATTTTAATAAAAAATAAAAAAATCATCATTCATTTTTATTTTTTAGCTTAAACCTTTTTAGCAACCTGTTTAGTAGCAGCCTTTTTATTTCTATTATTTTTTTAGGCTTATTTTTTAGCAACAACTTTAGCAGGTCTTGCACTTCTAGCTAATCTCCTTTTTCCAGCAGAATTATGGACAGTTTATTAAGCAGCCTAATATTTTTGATAAATTTTTATTTTAATTTTTTTTTTATTTTACTTAAACGGCATCAGCCATTGTTTTTGTTCTTTTTACTACTTTCTTTGCAGGAGATTATACTGTAGCGACAGCAGGTTGGGCTTAAACTTCTACTTTTTTTATAGTTTTGGTAACTTTCTTAACAACTTTTTTAGCTTATGCTTTTGAATTGGATCTTTTGGTCATTTTTGCCATTTTTATTAATATTTTTTTTATTTAGATTGTTTTAATAATAATATTATTTATTTATTTATTAATTATTAATTATATTTTTAATTGTAAAATATAATGTTTTTTTATTTTATTTTTATAAATTTTCAAATATCTATTATTTGATTGGGTAATCTTTATTATTTTAGGATATTATATTTGTTTATTTTTTTTTTTTTTAAATAAATAAAAAATTAATTATTTATTAAAAAAAATATATTAAATAAATTTAAAATATATAAATTAAAGTAAAAATTAAACTTAAATAATAAATATAATTATTTTATTTAATAAAAAAAAATAAAAATATATATATATTTATATATATATATAAATATATTTATAAAATATAATTATTTAAATATAAAATTAATTAAAATATAAATATAATCTAATTTAAGTATAATTAAAAATAATATTAAATATTTTAAAAAATATAATAAATTATAAATAAAAATATATATAAATTAAATTAAATAAAAATTCATTTTTCTTATTTCTTAACAGTTTTATTATTAGAACCTTTTTAGAAATTATCTCTAATAATTTAATTTTTTTTATAAATTTATATACTTTATTTCTAAAATTAATTAGAATGCTTATGATTATATAAATTCTACATATTTGATTTGTTATAATTTTCATAAATTTATTATGAATACAATTATTATTATTATTATTATTATTATTATTATTATTATTATTATTATTATTAATAATATTATCTTTTAGCAATTAATAAATCAATTGTAGCTTCATCCATATCAATATTTTATATATTACTATATTACTATTAAAGTCTTTAACTTTCATTTAAAATCTCTTGTATATCAATATCTAATTAATAAATATCTTTTTCAAAATACTAAAAACTTTACTAAACTTAGTTATCATATTCTTCATCGACTTTTTAACTTTCTACAACATTATCTTTTATTGTTTTTATTATTGATTTTTTACTGTATTCTATACTTTATTCACTTTAATCATTTTAGTTATTATAATTTTAGAAGTTGCTTTTCATTTTTAATGGAGAACTTTCTATTTTGTAATCACATAAATAGTTATTAAATAAATTATTATTATTATTATTAATATTATTATTAATATTATTATTATAATTTGTACTATTATTATTATTATTTATATTTTTTTTTTTATTATAACTACTTTTAATATTATTATTTTATAATAAAAATAAAATTTCTTCTATATTAATTCTATCACTCTCTTAAATTTGCAACATTTTTTATATTAAATTTATTAAAAATTCATTTTTCTAATTAGAAACTTCTTTAAGTATTTAATTTATTTTCTCTTCTAAAACTAAACCATTTTCAAAATCATAAATTATCTTAAAAATAAAAAAATTAAAATTTATATATTTATATATATTAATTACTTTAATATTCTTATTGTATAAAATTTCTAGACAAATTAAACCTAAAGAAAAAATATCACATAATTAATTATTATTTTCAGGATTTGAAATCCTATTTTTTTTTAATTAAATAATAAATATATAATTTACTAATGATATAATCCATTAAAAAGTATTGGAGATAAGTACATTTTATCTGAAATTCCTAATAATAGTCTTTTATATTAAGAAAGTCTAGTTAAATTTTCAATATCAGTAAGTTTGAATTTATCATCAGAAGATATAAGAATAGTTTAGGGTCTAATATCTCCATGAACAATTCCTTATTAATCAAAAACATAAAGCGCCTAACATATACAATCTATTAAATGAATAATTTCTTATTAATCTATTGTTTGTTTCATTTTTTATTTTTTTTATATTAATTATTCTAATGTTTCGGCATGATATCTATACGCTAATGAAATTTTAAATTATTAAGAACAAAAATCTTCGATTTTACTAGCTTCTTAATCTAATAATTCTACTATAAAAGGGCTTTTTATTTATTTTCTTTTTTCTGTTTTTTAGGCAAATTATATTAACATTTAATCATTTTAAAATCTATATTATTTTATTGCTATTAAATCCTTTATTTTTTGTTAATTGTAGTTAATTTTTTTGTATAATAAAAATAAAAGATACTTGCGTTAATGTATTTTTGACTATTTTTATTTCCCCATAAGCTTCTGTGTCCATTTCTTTTAAGAAGACTAAATTTTATTACATAAAAGATTGCTTATTTTCTTTAATATTCATTTGTTCGTTGCCCATTTTTTTTTTAAATTAGTTAATTTATTTATATTTATATATATAAATAAAAAAAAAATTAAATTTAAATGATAATAAAATTATTATATATTTTATTTTTACATATATAAATTTATATATATATATATATATATATATATATATATATATATATATATATATATTTATATTTAATTTATTTAATATTTCCATCATTTTTATTTATTCAATTTATCCTTATATTTCATAATCTATTTAATAATTATCTTAAGAAAATTCATGTCCATTAAACTAAAATATAAATAAATATTTATTTTTATATTAAAACAAAATAATTTTACTCCACATATAAAAGTTTTAGGTATATGCTTACTTTATTAACTAAATTCCTTTATATTATTTAAAAAATTTTGAATAGATGTTTTATCAATAGACAAATCAACTAAAATATATTTAAAAACTTTTGCTTATTTAAGAAAAGAAACATAAAAACAAAAGATTATTCAATATTCTAAATTTCTAATTCTCTTCCTAATTCTTTTTTCTTTTTCAAAATTTATTTAACTGAGTCAGTTTATTTAAAATATCCTTAAATCAAAAAAACAATATCAGTTTTTTAATAATCCTTAAATATATATAATGTAATGTATATATATCATTAATATTAAAATATACTTTATTCCAAATATCAGTTAAGATCCATTACCTACAAGTTTTATTAAATCTAGATTTATTTATTTCCCAAGAAATAAATTAATTAAATCCAATATAACATTAATTGTTATTATTATTATTATTTTTAAAAGAAAAACATTATTTGCTGTTTTCTGAAGATTAAGTGTCACTTTTGAATCTAAAATTTTAAAAAACCTAAGGACTTAGAATATTTGATCGACTATTAATCGAATTTCTATATGAACTTTATGCAAAAGAATTATTAGAAAGTAAGTCTTAATTAATTTTTAAATTTTTTAAATTAAGATAATTATTAATATTGTTATCATTAGTATTATTGTTATTGATATCATTATTATTATTATTGTTATAATTATTAATATTGTTATTGTTATTAAAATTATCATAATTATGAATATAAATATTATTATACTTATTATTATTATCCTTATTATTATTATTATTATTATTATTATTATTATTATTATTATTATTATTATTATTACTGTTATTATAATTTTTATTATTATTTAATACTAATTTTTTAAATGTTGAATGTATTTTATTTTTTAAACTTTTACTTTATTAAGTTTTTTTCTTGGTGTTTATTAACATGAAGGTGAAAAGAAAATTTATTTAGTAAATTTATTATAATCTTTTTTAGGAAGAACTTTTTTTTTTTCTAAAATATTTATGCCTTTAGTTTATTATACAATTTATTTTATAATTTTTTATGTTAATTTTATAAGTTCATTTTTTTATTAAAAAATGCATTTTTTTATTGTCTCTTTTATTTCTTTGCTAATATTAATTTTTTTTTTTTTTTTTTTAAATTTATTTAAAAATTTTCAGTCTCCTTTTTTGTATTCTTCTTCTTATGTAAAGTACATGTATTTTATTCTTTAAAAGTTATACTTTTTATAGGCTTTTAAATTTCTAATTTTTAAAATTTAAGTTGCCTATTTTTTATTAAACGATTAATCTTTTTTTATTCAATATTTTGTTTCCAAATAAATTATTTTTAATTTTCTTAATTTTTTTGACGAATTTAAGATAAATTAATATCATGAGCCTTCAATAAGAAATTATATTTTTTTCTTTTTTCTAAAAGATTTTATTATTCTTTATTGTTTATATGTTTATTTGTCTTTTATATTTCTGGAGTTGCAAATGACATTTATAAGCAAACAAGCATTCTCTATTGTAGTTATTATTATTATTATTATTATTATTATTATTATTATTATTATTATTATATTATTATTTATATTTATATTTTTATCACTTTTCTATTTATTAGCCATTTCTATAAATAATTAACCTTATTAAATTTATAATAAATCTAACATTATCAAAAAATATGTCTCATTAATATTTTTATTTTATAAATCTTACCAAGTAGTTTTTTTTTATAAATTTTAATGATATAAAATAGTCTATTTTTTATTAAATAAATAAAATATTTTTATTACTTATTATATAAAACTCATTTAATTTTCTTAATAAGGAATATCAATGTCAAAACTTAATACTAGATTATTATTTTTTCTTTCTAAAAAAGCACAATTTAATTTTATATCAATAATTTCTTATTCATAAGTTAATAAATATAGCAATTAATAAAAAATCTTAAAATAAAGAAATATTTATATATTTATATATATATATATATATATATATTTATATATTTATTTTTATATAAATATTATACAAAGAAAAATATAGTTGGATTTCCATTTACAGTATCAGGAAATCCTTCTTCAAAAAAAAGTGATATATCTTTTAATAAACCTATTTTTTATAGGGTATAATTTTCTAATATTTATATAATGAGATTCTCTATACAAAAATCAGCTTAAAATTACTCTTCTATTATTTAATTAAAATCAAATAATTTTTTTTTCTAAAATTCCTAAATAAAGATCAAAATATTTACAATATTATATTATTCACAAATAATATTAGAAAGCTCTTTTAAATCTGTTTATTTTATTTAATTTAATTGCGCTAAATTTGACCATTTTTTATAATCTTCTTAAATATGAGTTAATATAATCATAAATCTATTATTAATATTACTATTTTAAAATAAATAAATATCATTTTAATATAAATATAAAACTAATTAATTATATACTAATATACTTAAAAACTTTATAAAGAATAAAATTAATATTTTTTATTTTTTAAAATTAATATAATAAATAAATAATTAAAAAAAAAATATTATATATTTATTACTTCATTAGTAAATTATTAATTTATAAAATTTAATTTTCTTTTTATACACTTTATAGATTTATTAAAAAAGCATTATTTTCTTTATAAATAAATGGCTAAATTTTGGCTTTAAAAATTTGAATTTTTTATTTTTCATCATTTATTTTTTTTAATTCAATATTCATTTATTCATCAAATTATTCAATTTCAAAAGGATAAAATTATTATTTTTTTATGCTTTTTAATATACTATTAGTTTATTATTATTTATCTTAATTATTATCTTCTTCTTATTCATCATTATTCATAAGCTATAATTAAATTTCTTTTGTTTTTTATGATATATGTATATCTTCAAGAAGTTTAGAAAATGTCTCTTATTAAATAGGAGATAATAAAGTAAAAAAACTAGAGGGTTTAGGGTTTTTTTAATTGATTTATTAACATAAATTTCTAAAAGAGTCGTTAAAATCTATAATTTGACCTTAAATAGTAATAAGTAAAATCGGGTTGATGTTACTTTAAAAGATCCTTTGAAAGTTTTTTTCCGAAATATATAAGATATCTGTTATTTTCCAGTTTTTTCTTAAAAAAACTTCAATTATAATTTTCAAGAGTAAAAAAAATATCAAAAAAAATTAACTTTCACGATCTTCAAAAAATTAATAAAAAGTAAAAATAAAAAATAAAAAATGTTTTTTTAAGTTTAAATTATTAACAATACTCCAAAAAAAAAAAAAAACATTTAAAATAATAATTTCTTCCTATTTTTCTAATAAACAATACTTTTATATGAAAACTTCCTTTATTTTTTCCAATAAAAAATAAAATAAAACTAAAGAAATAATCTAAATTATATGAATCGATTTAATTTTGTGTAAAGATATTATTATTAATATACATGTAACTATTTAAAAAATATTTTAATAATAAAAACATTTATAATATATTAAATCTGCTATCATTATGAATATTTATATCAAATGAAAATATATTAAGTGTTAAATATTTTTTAAAAGTTGAGTTATTTGGTATTTTTATTCTATTTTTTACGAATTATACTCTAAAAATATATTCAAATTATAACATTTGTTCTTTATTTCTGATTTTTTTTTGAGTAATTAGCTTTATTAATAAATCATATTTATATTTTTATTATAAGTTTTTAATTTTAAATTTAATAAATGTATAATTGATATAAATTAAAAAAAATATAAATAGTTATTTAAAAAAAAAATATATAATGTGAATATAAAAATATATTAATATAAAAAAGTAAAGATAAAAATAAAATAATAAATAAAAAAAGTTTATTTATGAACAAAATATTTTGAATATATTAATTAAAATAAATATTATATTATTTAGTTTTATTATAATTTTTATATGTAATTAAATATATATATATATATTTATACATATTTTAATTTATTTATATGTATATTATTATTCACATATATTTTGTTATATATATATTAATTAAAATTAATTTTATTCTTCATTAATTTTTTATAAAAACATATTCTAATACTATTTCAATCATTTAAGCATTAACAGGTTTCGTCACATAAAATTTCATTCCACTTTTTTTAGCTTTTTATTTTTCTTATTCTTACACATAAGCACTACAAGCTGAAACAATCGAAGGTACACTTTTTTCTTTTTTAAAAAACGTTATAATATCTCTTGTAGTTTCATATCCGTTTTTTATAGGCATATCAATATCCATAAAAATCAAACTATATTTTTAACAACAAACATTTGTTTAAAAAAACTTTTTTTAAACCATTTCTAATGCTTCCATTCCATTAGAAGCTTTTTCGATTATGAAACCGTAACATTTTAGTCTTATTTCTAGAGTTATGAGATTAAACTCATTATCATCTACGATTAGAATATCAGTACATTTGCATTGTTTTTGAGAATTTAAACTTATTATTTAATTTTTTAAATCTTTATTTTGATTATATTTATATATTTCATGATGTTTATAATTTTTTAAAGTAACTATTTTTTCTATCTAAAATCATTAAAAATAATATTCTAAAATATATATAGATTTTTTTTATATTTTTTTTAAAAAAAAACATTATATTTATCAGATTAAATACTACTAATATCTTAACTTTTATATTCACTATCAAAACTTTATTCTTACTCTTTATCATTTTCCTCATATTAATATCCTTATTTTACTACAAAACTATCAATAATTGGTAAATTTTTTCCTTCTACTTCGTTTTCTTTTATATTACAAGATTATTAATCTTCATTTAGATTTAAAAACTTAGTTTAATAAATGTTATTTTCAAATTCGCTTTTTTTCTAAATAATTTTTAACTTTTTTTATAAATTAATATTAATAAATATAAACATATTTAAAATTTACAATTTATTTCTATTTTTTACATTTAGGTGAAATAGTTATTGAAGGTGAAGTTTAATCAATATAAGTAGTTCCATTTTAACTCATAAACTACTAACTAGTCGAAAGAGATATCCATTTATAAAAATCTTGACTTTTGGAAAGTTTACAAGTTCTTTTACTTTATTCCCTATTAAGTACATAAAAGGAAAAAATACTCCCTTTACCTTCTACACTTTCAGTTTCTAGTTTCCTATTTCCACCTAAACCCATAGCAAGAGTATTTGAGATAGATAAACCTAAACCTGCCCCTATAGTATTAAACATGAAATTTGGTTTTCCGAAAGACTCACAGAGAGTTTTAATGTATTTTTTAGGAATTCCACAACCTGTATCTGAAACTGAGATTTTAATGAGGTTTTTTTCAATTAAATAGACTTAAATTTATATTTGCCCTTTTTAAGTGAATTTTAAAGAATTAGAACATAAATTTAATAATACTTATTTGAATCTATTCTGGTCTGAATTTATTTACTCAGGGACATTTTTTTCCATTTTTAAAATTATATTTATGTGTTTTTATGAAGCCTAGAATTTTATTAACGATATACATTCTTAAATTGCATCTTCAATCGAAAAAATTTCCAAAGAAAGGGAAAACTATCCTAAGTTAATTTAAGCCATATCAAGTATATCATTAATAATATTCAATAGAATATAGCAAGATTATAAAGCTGGCACTATAAAATGCTATTTAGAATAAATATCGATTCCATCACATAAAGAAGCCATATCTAAAGAAGAAATAGAACAATTTAAAGGGGTTCGAAGTTCATGAGAAATTGATGCTAATATTGAATTTTTATATAATTTTAAATTTTAATCCTAAAACTCATTTACTAATGAAGTTATTTAAGAAGTCTCTATATATATTAAGTCTTCACATTTACCCTTAGGAGAAGTAAGTGTATATAATTTAATTTTTAACTGAAAGAACTTTATATTATTATGAATAAATAATAATATTAGACTTTCGTTTTATTTATCGTATTTATAAAAGAAGCTTTTTTATTAAAATTGTTTTTTTTTTTGCAATTTTTGTTTTTATAAATAAGTATTTATTTTTCGTTTGTTATAAGTATTATAAGTTGATTTTTCTGTATCTGTATTGTTTAGTGTTTCGCTTTTCTAAATTAAACTTAATAGATCTTTTAAATTTTATATATTTTGACTATCTAAATATCTCACTTTTTCCTAAAAGCCTTTTTTTAAAAGGCTTATGGTTTCAATATTTGTATTTTGATTGTTTTCTTCATTATTTTATATAGAAATTTCTTTATTATAAGTGTATTTATTTCTTTCTTGATTTTAATCATAATTAGAATCTTCTTCACTTTGTTATTCTGATTGTTGTTATTTGCTCATATTTAAATGAATTCGCTATTATTTTTTATTATTAAATCCACTTTAACTTTACCAGAAAATGCTTTCGTTGGTATTTGATTGATTTTCAATATCAGTTATTGTAGTTTCGGCAATTTTTAATTATAATATAAACTATAAAAGGCTGAATTAAGTACATTAGAATTAATTTAATATATTATCATTATAATAATAAATGTTTTTTTTATCATTTACAATAACTATTCCTATGTTCATATCGTTAAAAAGCTATTTTTCTAATTTTAAACTGTTTATGGATTAGTTTTAGATACTTTTTTCAGATATATTTTAAAGGTTTTACATATCTTTTTTGTTTGTATAAAAAATTAAGTTTTCAATTTATTTAAAATTATTTAAGCATATTTTAGGACAATTTTTCGATTCTTTAATTTTTTTTTTCAATTTTATATTTTATTTATGTATATAACTTTAGTATTAGAAAGTTAATATTATTTGAAAAAATTAAAAAAACCATATTAAGGAGGTTTCGTTTGATATTATTAAACGTACTATAGTATATGTTATTATTACAAAAGTAAAATATTTATTTTAATTGTGAATCAAAATCAAATATAGCAATAAATATAGGTTATTTATACAAATACTTAATTTATATATTTCAAAAAGCAAAATAATTATTATAATATTAATATAAAGTAAGTATTTTCTTTTTTTTACAAATAATAAAACTATTATAGCTATTGTAATTAGGAATAAAAGTAAAATCATGATAATAAAAAGATTGTTTATTTTGAAATAGTCTTTTGATTAAATATAATTTTTATTAAATAAATCTATGATTAAATGTATTATTAATACTAGATAAATGTAAGAATTCCTTAAAATTTAATTATTTAATATTTCGGTTAATAAATTTAATAGAAAGGACAGTAATTTATTTATTTTTTACATTTTTTTTTCTTTAATCTTGTCCAATTATATTTTTAAAATATTTTTTAAAAAACAATAAATTAATTTCTATTTTATATAATTAGATTAAATAAAAAATTATTATTCTTATATATAATACATTTATTTTTAATATATAACTAAATATTTTTTAAATTTTATTTTAAATGATATTTTTTTATTATATATTAATATTTTTAATGAAATAAAATGTAGGTTTTCAAATATTTTACAGTATTAAAATAAATATTAAAAATATTATATTTTTACCATTTAAATATCATATTAAAAATATATTATTATTACTGAAAAAATTAGAATGTAATAATAAAAAAATAAAATAAATAATTTATTGCTTTTATTAGAATAATAAATATTTAAATATAATTATAAATAAATGATACATTATATAATATGCTATTATCATTAATATAATATTTTTATCATATTGTTAATAATAATTCGTATAAAGAAATACATTATTTACTTTTACTATTTATTTCTATATTTAGATATTTATATAAAATTAATAATAAAATGTAATTAATAGATATATATTTTATTTCGTTTCTAAAATTTATATTTATTTCATTTACTTTATATTATAATTTTTTTATTTTATATATTTTTCTTTAATATTTATTAATAATTTTTTTTTTTACAAATTAATTAAAATATATATTTTTTTTATTTAAATTTTCTTATATATTATATTATATATATATATATATATATTATATATATTATATTTTTCTTTTTATCAAATTTTAAAAAAAATAAAATATATATGTTTTGTATTATTTTATAATCACTTTTTAGATTTTTTTTTTCTTTAATTAATTAATTATTCCCTTATTATTTATAATATAAGTTATTTGAAATTAAATAAAAACATAATTTCTTTTTAAGGCAGTTTTCATAAGGAATAAATATCCATTAAGAAAAAAAATAAATCTGCATTTAATCCTCTTATAATTGTTTTTAGGTATAAAAATAATAGGAAATAAATAAAAATAGCAGATAAAACAAAATAAATTAATGTTATAATGGAAGTTAAAATAAATTAAATAATTATAAAATAAACGAAATTTATAAACTATTTAAATATATAGTAATAATCTATAATTTTTATATAATCTTGTTATAAATTTATCTTTAATAATTTTTGTTGTTGTAAAAATTAATAAAATTTTACTGTATTTAGAGATTAATTCAAAAAATTTTAGATATTTTATTTATTAAATAATTAAAAATAAATTAATAATATAAATTTAATATATTCATAATTTTTTTATATATATTAAAATGCATAATTAATATATTAATATTTTTTATGTTATATAACATTTTGCTTTTTTTTTTCTTTAGATACATTTTATCATTTAAATATTTTTTTTTTAATTCTTATTTTCTTTAATATGTATTTATTAATATTTTTAAATATTATACATTTATGAATTAAAATGAATTTTATTTAGATATATTATATAAAAACTAAATATTTAAAAAAAGGCACAGTTTTTTATAACATTAAAATATATAATTAATACTGAATTTTTCCGCTTCAATAAATTAAAGATATATTATCTAAGGGTAATTAAAAAACAATATTAAAAACTCTAATAATAGACAAAATGTTTAAGAAATAACTAATAAATTTAGTTAATTTTTAAACACTCCTGTATATAAAAACAAAACAATAAAGTAAACTACACTAGATAAAATATAAATATTATAATATTTATATTTAATTATTTGAATGTATACAATCAATTTAGGTAAAGTAACCTAATTTAATTTATATTGAAATAATAATTCGATATTTATCCCCAAGAAAATAATTGGGTTTATTAAGAAGACAATGTATATTATTATAAAAACTAAAAAGAAAATAGTTTTAATATAAAAAACTAATATGATTAAACTACCATATATCTATAATTTAACCTAATAATTGAATGCAATTGCTAAAAATAATTGAATTGATTTGATAAAAAATAAATAAAGGCTTGCATATAAAATAAATGTGGATATTATAATTTAAAAAAATAAATATTTAAATTATAAAAAAAGTATTAAAAAATTAAATATTTATAATAAAATTATTATAATTAAAATAATATAAAGATGTAAAACATAAATATAAATAAATAATAAAAAAACAAACAAATAAATTAAATCCTTAAATAAAAATATTATCATTTATATATATATATATGAAGCCATATAAAAAAATAAATAAATAAACAAACATATTTAAGAAAAAAAAAATGCAAATATAATTATAAAAAAAAATCAACAAGAAGTCAATTTAAGAGCTGCTTTACTACATCTAAACTCATTAACATTACACCAATTATCTTTCTAAAGTTTTTCAATAATATCTTTGAACTCTTCAATAATAATCAGTTATTTAATCTCTTCTTCAGCAACGCAAGTTTTCTTATTACTAAAAATAACATCCATTAGTACATTTTTGACACATTAATTTCTAATTTCACCATAACATTATATTGTAATATCTTAAATTTCATCTATGTATTATTTGAATATTCTTTAAGCAATAGACTTATTTATGGTCCTTTAATTTCTTTTATAAGACTCCGCATTAATTTTATTTTTCTCCAGTTATTTTGCCAAATCAACTAAAGTTAAACTTTTGCTAATAAACTAGTCTTTTTCGGTAATATAAAGAACAAAACTTCCCCCTGATTACTCATTTTGTAAAATATATTCGTATTGATTTATCTATTTATTTTTATTATTATTATTATCATTCTCCTGTTTTTTACTATATTATTTGAACAGTTCTTCTCTAAGCCTTAAGTTTTTCTCATTTTCTTCAACTTAATAAAACTTCAGCTTAGAAACTACATATTATTTGAATTCATTTTTATACTCAGTATTGCATTTCTTTAATTATTCATTCTAATCTTCAGTAGCACCAAATAAATAAATCAAAACATCTCCTTAATCTTACATATGGATCTTCACCAAACCGTTTCCTATATACTCTTTGACTAAATACTGTCCAAAAACAGATTTCTCCTCTTCCTATTTATAACATAATTAAATTACTATATACTACTTTTAATTTGTCGATTAGCTCTATTTTGCAACTACAAAGGCCTAATTTATCTCTTTTTAATTCTTTTCATCTATAAATTAAGGTTCAGAAAAACAAGTAACGTATCCAAACTAGGATTATAAAGGGATTTCTTTAACTAAACCAAAATTAATATTTTTATTATTAGAAGCATTTTGTAAATCTGAAAAAGACACGTCTAAATTAGTTTAGCAAGAAAAGTTAGAACATGTAAAAGTGGAAGAAATTTTATACAAATTAAAAGCCTTAAAAAGACCTTATGATTTCCCTAATTCAGCTAAATTTTTCACATTTACAGATCTATTATTTATTTAAACATTATGGTTAGTTAATATAGTAGCAAAAATTGCTAATAAAGCACCTTATTCTTCTATTTTAGATATTTTAATGTCTTATTATTTACAACTGTCGGCTATTTAATCACTAAATTAGCTAAATGTTTTTTAGAAATCAGCTAATTAACAGTTATCAATATTTAATAAAGCAATATCTATCAAAGATTAATCTTTTTCAGAAAAAAAAGTAGAAAATTCAACTTTGTAATTGTTTTAATTTGAAAAATATAATGGATTACAATTTTATAATAAATCCTTTTATAAAATAAAATCTTTAATAATATCAGTTTTTGCACTAGGATCACATACTCCATTTACTTAGGGATATATCTAAAGTTAATCAGTACATGTAAGACAATCTGAATGTGATGGTCCTTTACAAGTTGCACATGTGGAATGACATTATTCACATTATTATATTTCTTCGTTTAAAAAAAAAGATTCTTCACATTAACTACATGTATCTTATGAAATACATGATAAACAATTAGATGGGCATTTAAAACATTCATCCCCTGTCCTATTTATAAAAAAATGTTAAAAAATATATATATAAATAAAATAAATATAATATAAATAATAAATATAATAAATATAATAAATATAATAAATATATAATATATATATATATATATATATATATAATATAATAAATAAATATAAATATATATATATATATATATATTTTTATTAATTTAAAAAAAACCAGTATTCTGATATAGCGCATTTTGATTCTAATATTTCTTATTCTTTTTCTACATCGGCAATATTGTAGTCATTTTATTATTAATTATCATTATTATTATCATTATTGTTTTAATTTTCATCTTAATCATTTTAATCATTTTATTTATTTTCTTCATCTTAATTATTTTATTCATTTTAATCAATTTAATCATTTTAATCATTTTAATCATTTTAATTATTTTTATCATTTAAATCATTTTATTCATTTTAATCATCCTAAATATTTTAATCATCTTAATAATTTTAAACATTTGTTTGTAAGATACATTTAATAGATTAATCGTCTTCTAAGTCTTCATCTTAAGGTTAATACCCTAAAGGACAAGTAATATAGCACTTAAATCTTTAATCAATTTCACTATTTAATTATAAATATATGTATATAATTTTAATTATAATTAAAAAAATACTCTTAAATATAATAATTCATTTCTGCCTTACATACAGTGCATAAATTAGTTGCATCAATACATTCCTCACATGAAAAATGACATTCTTTAAAAAAAATATATAAATATATAATAAATAAATATATATATATATATATATTTATATATTTATATATTTATTATTTATATAATTTTATATTTATATCTATTTATTATACATTTTATTGTTTTAGTTTCTTTATCTATAAAAGTGTTAGGTTCTTTTGAAGGATTTACACATTATCCAGAACTTGTTAATTCATAATCATTTTTACATTATAAACAATCATCTATTTTTCCACCCTTACATTAAGAGCATTTCTCGTAACATACAACACATTAAAATGGATATTCAGTTTGTCTATATTCATTATCTTCGCATTTTTCTTATGCACAACATTCATCACCTTCACATACTTTACAACTTAAAACATCACTAAATATATATAAATATATAAATATATATATTATTTTTGTTTAAAAAATATTACTCTCTTTCATATCCATTAAAACAAGATAAACATTAATCAGGCGCAGGCCCAACACACTTTTACATTATTCAGGTTAACAAGATATACATTTATCGTCGAAAGGAAATGTTCCTGGTCTACATTTTAAGCACGCAATTTTAGTTTTTGTGTAATCTTCAGGACATTCCTATACACATTCATCTTCTAATAAAAAATATCCATTAATGCATCGTGTACATGATAATTCCTTTCCATCTTTATCTAATTTTATAATAAAATATAAATATGCTTTAATTATTTTATTAAATACCTTTAGTGCATTCTTCACAATTTTCAGATTAACATCCATCACATTTTCCATCTGTTAGTGTATAACCTTATTTACATTCAATACATTCCTTATAATCCGAAATTGAGCATTATCTACAATTTGATTCTTCACAATTCATACAAGAATATAAGAAACCTTATTCGTCTGTAAATGAAAGTCTTTATTAAGTATTTATGTCAAATTCGCCATTTACTTATATCAAATCTTTAGGGTTATTACAATTCCATAAAAGTTTGAATGAATCTACAAATATATGCTTTAAATTGTAACTTTAAAAAGCAGTAAAACTTAATTATCTAACTATATATATATAAAATTAAATATTTATATATATAAATATTAATAAATATATAGATATTAGATATATATAAATAAATATGCATATATATAAATAAATAAATATAAATATATATGAATTATTATATTATATATATATATATATATATATATATATATATATTTATATATATTTATATTATTTTTATTTTACATTTAAATTGAATTCTTATTTTTTTTATTCAAGTTCATCTATTTAAGATTATTTTTTTAAAATAAAAGAATTTCCTTAACATAAAGTACACTATTAATAAGAAGTAGTTAAAAGATCATCTAATGTAGAAGTTTTACAAGAATCTATACTTTAATATAAATAAAAGTCTATCAAACTAATTAAAGACGCCTAAAATTCTATTTATTAATTAATAAATATATTTTTTAATTATTCGTATGTTTAGGTTTCTATGTATTTTTGTGAAGGTATACTTAAGTTATTATCTACATTTCCTATAATATTTACATCGGAAAATTTACATGGTTACATTCGTTTTGCGAATTCCATTATTTACTCGTTTAGGGTATCTCCTATAGAATAGTCACATGAAGTAGATGACTTTATTTTATCTTCAAAAGTTTCTTATTAAGCTATAGGTATAATAACTAAAAGTGCTAATATTATATAAAATTATGTATTTGTGGATTTAATTAACATTTTTTCTTATTTATTTTATTATTATTTTATTTTAATTAAAAAAATAAATATAATAATATAAATAAATTATTATATTAAAATATAATTACAATTTATATTAATAGAACCAAAGAAATAAAACTAAAAATAAATTTAAATAATGTATTTGTAAATAATTCAACAGTAATAAAATGTATAATAAAATATATAATAAAAAACATTTTTTTTTGTTTAAAAAAATATAATAATATTTTTTTTTTTAAACAAACAAAAAAACATAAATATATGTATATTAATTATTCATCTGTTAAAAAAAAATTAAATATTAATTTAAATATTTAAAATATTAATATTTCCTATATATGTTTTAAATGGGAAATATAAAAAATACGAAAATGTATAATATATACACACGTTGTAACCGAGGTTGTTACTATTGTTGTGATTATAATATAGAAATGTGTAGTACAGATATAAAACTACAATGTAATACATTAAAAAACTTAGTATGTATATGTGGAGATTGTATTCCATAATGTCCTTAAATAAATTGTTAGTGTGCATTAATACGTATTTTTTGTATATAAATGTGTCAATTTATAATAAAGGAGACTAACGAATTATTTGAATGCCATTTTTATTGCGAAAATCCGTGTATTTTAAGAGATAATGGGCATGAATAATTAAAAAATAAACTTTTATTATATACTGAGAGATAGGATATTAATTCCGAGAAATATTTCGGGAAAAATTCTTTTGTTTTGGAGAAAAATAATGAACTGGAAGTTTGCAAAGTAATAGAAGTTGATAATGCAAAGGAATTTTTTGATTTAGAAGAGAAATTTAATTTAAGAGTAAAAATTTTTTAAAACGAGAATATTTTAAATTTAAGAAATATTCAAAATATGACTTTAGATAATTTTTTTTCAACAAAAATTTATGTTTTTTTATTCTTCGATTATATTTTAGTAGATCTATAAACAGAAATAAACTTTAGAAAAATATAAAAAATACGCTTCTAAGAAGACGAAATTTGGAAATTCATATTTGATTTAATTAAAGCAATTGAATTTTTTCATTCTTAAAACTATTCTCATTAAGGAATTTAGAATGAGCGTATTTTTATTGACGAAAAAGGAAATTTTAAACTAAGTGATAGTTTTTTATTTTAATTTAAAAATAATTTTTAAATTATTTAATAAGATAAATAAAAAGAATTTTCTAAACATATTTATTTATCACCTTAATAGATTAATGTATCATATATAATTTTTGTTTTTTTTTTATAATTTTTTTAGTATTTAAAAAATAATTAATATTCGATAGATGATAAATATAAAAGTGATATTTTTACATTAGGAGTTATTATTTTAGAATGCGCTTCTTTAATGGAACTTACCTAAATTTACGATTATAATAAGTTAGATATAAACTATTAATTATTGACTAATATTTTAAATTAAATTTAATATTCATAAGAACTTATTTAATTCATTTAATAAATGATCATTTTCGATGAAAAATAAAGACCTAGTTCATAAAAACTACTGGCTTTATTGAAATAAAGGTTTCATTAAAGTATATATAAATCCAAATATATTCCTTAAAATAATGAATTATATATTGACATTCCGTTAAATATGTCCAATAATAATCTATATAAATCCTCATCATCTTTAAACTAAAGCAATGTGAATTAATAAAAGGATCATTTATTTAAATTTGGGGAAATCTAAAAAGGGGAAAAGGCTTATTATATAACTGATTTAGGAACAATTTTTCTAGATAAAAAATAATAAACTATAGGATGTATTGATAAAATATAAGAGAAGATTTTTAAAAAGTATAAGGTTTATAATAAAAAAAATGAACTTATTTATGAAGGAAAAATGGAAAATAAATAAAAAAATGGTAAAGGTATTTTGTATTTTTATTAATACGATATTTAAAAAAGCGATAATAATATAAATTACGAGGAAATTATATTTGAAAATGCATTGAAATTTGAAGGAGATTTTTTAAAAGATAAAAAATAGGGATTTGGGAAATTATTTTTTAATAATAATATTAGATTCGAGTGCAATTATGATGATGATTTTGCATAAGGAAAAGGAGTTTTTTTTAATGATAAAAACTAAATTATTTTCTAAGGAAATTATTTCTAAAATAAATTAATTAAATGAAAAAAAAAATGTAAAAAATAATTATTATTTTTAAAATAAAAAATTTTAAATGTTAATGTTAAAAATAATCTTTATATATATATATATAAAAAAAATATTCATTATTATAATTTATTTTAAATCCAAACTCCACTTACAAGTTATCCATTTAAACAAAAAAAAGTACCTGGCCCATTAATATAATCTTTTTCGAAAACTCCCGTAAATTTCTCACCATTAGATAAATATAAAGTTCCAAATCCTTCCTTATTATCATCTTTAAATTACCCATCATATTTAATCCAAAACTCATCAATATTATCGAAATCTGAAAAATTAAACTATTCTTTAAATAAAGCCGGCATTTCATTATATAAAATTCCAAATCCTTCAAATTTATCATTTATCCAATCCCCATCATAAGCTGGTTTTCCACTAGCATAACTTAAAACTCCTTTACCGTGCATTTTATTCTTTACCCAATAACCATCATATAAACCTCCATCTTAATAGAAAAATTTACCTTTGCCATGTCTCATTCCATTCATTTTTTGGCCTTCATAACGCGAATTATTCTAGTAATTTTCACATACATATTCTAAGTTACTGCTATTTATTTATGAATGAATAAAAATTTAACCTTCAGAATAGTCTTATGGTTTTTAAAATTCTTGTTATTATTATTAAATATTTTTTTAGATATTTTAGGTAAAATTTTGTTCAGTTTTTTAATTATTTTCGATATTGAAATTATTTAAAATATTGCATGAAGAAATCTCGTTGTTTTTATTTTAAAGTAAAATATTATTTTAAATTTTATTAAAGGTTTCCATTTTATAATTTATATTATTTGATAATATTTCATGTTGTTATATAAATGAATTATTATTATTATTTATAATAATTGGATTTTATTAAACATTAATATTACCTTATTATTAAAATTAATTCAATTGATAAAGTTTTGGTCTATATTTTTATAAAATAGCTTCAACTTCATTTGATGCTTATTATAAAAATAAAAAATATAAAAAAATATATAAAAAAATAAATATGAATATAAAAATAAATATATATATTATTAATATATATATAAATATATATTATATATTATATATTATATAATTTATATAGTTTATATATTTTATATAAATTTTATATATTTTATATATTACTTTTGTAAATATCCTATTCATTTTAGTTTTAATAATACTTTTACATATTTTCTTCATTTTCCTATGAATTACATATATAATTTTAATTTTACTAACATTGTTACAATTATTATTTGTATATATATTATTATTTATCATATTTTTATTATTCTTTTAAATAACTCTCTTATTAATAAATTTGTTATTATTAATATCTTTATTATTATTAAATTTATTATTAATTTTTTTTATTTATTTAAAATTTATAATTATTAAAATTTTAATTATTATAATTATCATATTAATTATTCTCTTATTAAATATTGATATTTTTATTTTCAAAGTGTTAATCATTACTAAAATTTATTTTTTAATCACATGATACATTATATAAATTCTACTAACTTTCTTCCATATTGTCTAAAACTTAATTCCCATTATTTTCATCAGGCTAAGGTATTCTTTAATTGTTTTCTTAAGGGATAAAAGTTATTTAATTTTCTTAATCTTAAATATCTTTTTATAATAAAACAGCTCCTTATAATTTATGATTTGTCTAATTTATTTAAGGTTTTAAAATATTATTAATTATAGATTTATTTTTTATTATCTATTATATGTTTTATTATTACTATTATACTTATTAATATTATTATATTTTATATGTTTATTATTATTATATTTATGATTAGCTCTATACGCCTAATACTTTAGTAAATGATTTTTCATCTTTTTAAATTTTTTCTTTTTTAATTTGATTTTCTTTATTTATTTCGTTAATATTAACTTCTTATTTTTTTTTTCAACTGAAGCTTCTTAGTTTTTTAAAATTTATAATAAATCATGAGTTCCTATTCTTTAATCAGGATTAAAATTTAGCATATTTTATATTATATTTTACAAAAAAAATCCATATTTTTCTTATATTAAATTAATTTTATTATCTAAAACATTACTATTTATATAAAATTCTTTATAATCATAACATTCATCTTAGTTTTGGAGATGAATACAAGCTAAAATATTCATTCCAAGTGTAAAAATATCACTTTTTTCTTAATTAAATACTGGTTACCAATCTTATTTTTACAAAAACTTTAAAAAAATAAATAAAAAAACTATAAAAATTTAATAAAATATACATTAAGTAATTCCGGAGATAAATAAATTCCTTATTAAATATTATTTGGATTAGCTAAAATATCTTAATATAAATTAATTTATGAAAAAAGAAAAGGATCTGCCAATTTAACATTTCCTGTATTCGTAATATAAATTGTAGAATTTCTTAAATTTTAATGTTAAACTTTATTTTCTTGTAAATATTTTAAAGAAGACAAACACTAAATTAATATATTTTTTATTTCTTCTTCTTTAAAAATTTGATTCTATTCAATTCTTTTTTATTATTCCATTTATAATGTATTATATACATATTCAAATATTATATATGTTTTATAAAATGTTGAACATAATTAATTCTCGATTTTTTAAACACAATCTTTTTTTAAAAAATTAATATATTCATATTTATATTTATATATTTTTTACTTATTATTTATACTATATTTGGATGCTTTAAATTTGATTTATATTTATATTTTTTAAAAATTATGTTAAATTCATATTCATCATTCGAATTTATTTCCCTTAAAATATATTCTTGAGATGTCATTTTTTCCCTTAAAAGAGTACACTCGCCTAGTTAAGTGTCTTATATTTTTTTTAC